GATTGACGATTTTTTTTCAAAATAAAACCAAAGATTTTCAAGATTGAAAATGACATTAAAATTTATCTTCTCATAGTAATGATGTTTAACTCTGTGAATCTTATTTCTGTTTATAGTATAATGTCAAGTGATCTCTTAACCATTCTTTAAATATTTCAAATTACTGGGAAAAATCCACATCTCCCTGGGTTGATGTCTTCTTTTTTTTCTTTATTTTACCTTAAGTTCCGGGGTGCATGTGCACCAACCTCCCAAAGTGCTGGGATTATAGGCGTGAGCCACCGAGGGCTTTTAACAGTTCTTAACAACTTTAGTGTTTTCCTGCCATCCCCAGACGTTAGCTCTTAGATGGTCACTGCTGGAGCAGTGGCACATCTCGGCTCCGGCAATCTTCCTATCTCAGGCCCCCTTAGTAGGACAAGCACCCGCCACCACACCCGGCTAGGCTAATCTGTGCTTTTTGTGTTTTTCTCCCTCCCTCCGACCCACTCACCTCCCCTCCCCTCGGGCCTCCTCTTCTCCTCTCTCTCTCTTTTTCTCTTTTCTTTTTTTGAGATGACGTCTTCTTTTCGCCCAGGCTGCAGTGCAGTGGTGCTATCTCGCTCGCTCGGCTCACTGCAACCGCCACCTGCCAAGTACAAGGGATTCTCCAGCCTCAGCCTCTGAGTAGCTGGGACTACAGGTGCATGCCACCACATCCAACGAATGTTTTGTATATTTAGTAGAGACGGGTTTCACCACGTTAGCCAGATAGTCTCGATCTCCTGAGTTCATGATCCGCCGGTTTCGCCCTCCCAAAGTGCTGGGATTACAGACGTAAGCCACTATGCCCAGCCTCGTTTTCTTTCTTTCTCTTTCTTTTTTTCTTTTTTTTGTGGAGGTTTCAACATGTTCTCAGGCTGGTCTCCAACTCTTGGGCTCAAGTGATCCGCCCAGCCTCCTAAAGTGCTAGGATTACCAGTGTGATCCGCCGCGCCTGGGTAGCTCCTGCGTTTCGCGACAGTATTCACGGGAATTTGCAGGATTTCTGTGCTGGGGAGACGTGTACTCAGCTAATAGAGCTACGTGGAAGTTGTATTCAGAACCGGTGGTTTTCTTTGGAATAAAAACAGTGCATTTTGGGGAGCTGTTAGGGTCCTCGTTTGGTTGTAGACATAACACCCTTGCTTTGTGTAGGGGAAGGACTTTGACCGTGCCCTGGTGCTCCTGCGCAGGGCATGGAGGCCTGCAGATCAGAACCGCAGTCTACCCTATGTCTTCGTGGAATACCCTATTTGCCCTGGAATATAAGAAGGGAGTTCTTGTGAGGAGATTTCTACAAGTAAGAAAACAAATTTCCATTTAGTTTTTATTGAAAAATTTGAAATTATAATAACTGAGTCCTGCCTCTCAGATGACAAATGTCTTTTGCCTTGAGATCCCGGAACTGCCGCTTGCCTCAGCAGGTGCAGGTGCAGCCCTCGCTGCCCTCCACACTTTCTCCACAAGAGGGAGACAGCGTTCCGCAGGACCACAGCGCTCTCGCGGCATCCAGAGCCAAAAACCGCGGAGCGAGTTGCCCTGTCCTGGCTGCAGCAAGCAACTGTCCTGGCTGTCCTGGCTGCACCTTGCCCTCTCCCGGGTTCACCGCGCATCTGACCTAGAAAGGTCCTTCGCTGGGAGCAAAGTGGGTCGAGATGGTTGCCAGAGCTGGGGCCTGTGCACTGGACCAGGTTGACCCACGGGATTGGAGGTCTCCAGAGTCAGAGGGGGGCCAAGCACTGCGACCTCACTCTCCTCAATCTCCAGAAGGACTCAGAGAGATGCAGAAACTGAGACAGGCTTCCTTTTTCAAGGAAAGAGGAAACTCTCGAGGAAGGTCCAGGGGCTCTGAACCAAAATCCAGATTTTTTTTTTTTTTAACCTGCAGGCTTTTGTTTTTGTTTGAGAAGGTATCTCGGTCTGTTGCCCAGGCTGGAATGCAGTGGCACAATTTCGGCTCATTACAACCGCCATTTCCCAGTTTGAAGCAATAGTTCTTCTTCAGCCTCCCTAGTAGCTGGGATTACAGGTGCCCACAATTTCGCCTGGCTAATTTTTGTATTTTTATTAGAGACAGGGTTTCACCATGTTGGTCAGGCTGGTCTCAAACTCCTGGTCTCAAGTGATCGCCCACAGCCTCCCAAAGTGCTGGGATTACAGGTGTGAGCCACCACATCCGGCCCACACCTGCAGCTTAATCCCATTTAGTTGATGCAGCTTTATCATTCCCTATGTTCAGGCCAAAAAGCAGTTCTGTAGGGTGGTCGTTCTTTGACCCCATACATCCTGTTGTTCAGAAAATTATTTGGTTTTCTATTTAGGTAACTGCAGACTGTACAATCTTTCTCTTTCTTAGTCGGAAACCAAGAAAATGTAGATTTTTTGGTAAACATAGAAAGCTTCTGTTCTTTAAGCTTGAAACTTAACGTTTGTTTTATTTGAGTTCCTTCAGGCCTCTCAAGCTATCAAAGAACTGAGAGTCAGCCAGACAGTGAGATGCTGGACCCCTCATTCACTATGATTGCTTCCTTGCCCTCCCTAGTTCCTGTTTTCTTATATGTTGTTACATTTCTTCCCTGCGATCTAAA